ATTATTAGTTTCCAAAGTCAATTTTTAGGTATAAAGTTTATTTAGTGAAATGTTGTGATGGTAAAATTATGCTTATTGTGGCTAAATTGTACATAATACTGCATATTACATAATAAAAAAATATATATATAAGTTAGTGTGGACAGTGGCGTATATTATGTTATGACGTGACCACGAGATATCAGTATATGTATATTTACTCATGGGTGGATAGGCCATTTTTGGACTACCGGAAAATTTTAAAAAGGGGCCTCCACATGAAAAAAAAATTAATTGTATATGATATTGAAGGGGGGCCCCATTACCGGAATACGAAGGGGTGCCCACCAGGAAATTGCCGGTTGCTCGGTAGGCCTATCCGCCTATATGTACGTAAATATAATAATATGTACATGGATATATTCACCTATAATTTAATACAACATATACTATAATATATTATATTGTATTAGTCAGGGATCGAAACCGTTTCATTTTTTAACGGTTTCGGTTTCGGTTTTTGAGAACGGTTTTCTAAATTTTCTGGTTTTGGTTTAGGTTTTAAGATCAGGTTTTCAAACTTTTCGGTTTTGGTTTCGGTTTCAAAAAAGGGTTTTAAAAAAATGTATCTGCTTCAAGAACGGTTTTTGAAAGTGTTTGGTTTTGGTTTTTGGAACGGTGTTTTAAATTTTTATTATATTTTCCTACATCTAAAAACCGTTGACCCAATTTTTACTATCTATCTATTAACTATTAAGGGCTGAGCCTGAAGCCCTAAAAATTAAAATATAGGTATCTGATTTGTACACTTTGTGTAGAATGTACATACAATATGCCAAGTTATGATCAACAGAACTAATTTCGTGTTCTCAACAACGTTGGTAGTAGGTACCTACCTGCTTTTGCATACAACATATTATAGAGATCATTATTCGATTACATTATATTAATATTTAATTGTAATTCACAATAATATTGAATTAYATTACAGACTACAGTATAATAAATCTCATCTCATGTTATGCTTATGATATTTGAACAAAATCTTAAGTTTAAATTTAAATGGATAGTTGCTAAAAAAGGATATTGGAGTATTGACAATTCTGTTATTTAAAACACGTTTAATACACATTTTTAATCCAAGAGATTGTTAGAAATTTTCATATTTCTATTTTTTAATAACATGTGTCGTTTTTATTACCAATACTCAATAGGCAATAAATAATAATATTACAATTAATATAATATAACAACAATACAGATTACTGATTAGTGATTACAAACATGTATAACAGCATAGTGGCGGACAAAATAATAGTTGTTATATTATATTTTAATTTAGAACCAATACAATAAGTATAGGAATAATATAAAATATAAATAGAACAATATTCGTATTACCAATAGATATTAATATTTCGTAATACTGATTAGTGATTACCTGAGAGCATCGGGATTTTTATTAATAAATTCCAACATTATATTATTTTSTTATCAAGAACGGTTTTTCAATTCTATGGTTTTGGTTTGGGTTTTATAAACGGTTTTTTAAAGGCCTCGGGTTTCAGTTATGGTTTTTTAACCGGTGTTTTAAAGCTTTTGGTGTCGGTTCCGGTTCCGGTGTTCAATAATGAAAAAACCGGTTTTAACCGTTTTTTGAAAAACCGGTTTCGATCCCTGGTATTAGTATATGAAGTTAAAACAACTCTCCCAGCCTTAATATGTGTGTGGATGTAAAAGATACGTCCACGGTTTMGGATATCCGTATATACCTACGCATTCTACATATTATTGTAATTATACCTGAACATGATCGCTGTTCACAATGCCCGGTCGAATGCTGCCTGTCTCTTGGTATCTGTTGAGTATCTTGGACACGCACCCGTGTGACACTTTGAGCTGTCTGGATATGTTACTAGGCCGCACGCCAGCAGCAGCCATTTCGACGATTTTCAACCGGACCACATTAGGCAACGGTCGACCGTTTATGAACGTACCACCGAGCTGGTTCACACGCCCTTGGCCTAGATAACAGTTGTAATAGGATAAAATATAAGTTATATTGTTGCAGTTTGATCGTTATACATTTAAGTAATACTTTACTTGTAAATTATAATACTAACGGATAATCATTTACCAAATCTACACGCACTAGGTCCTTCTTGTTGATATTTAAATTGTATATAATATCAAAAAAAAAAAACTCTGCTATAGAATAACAATATAATATTTTAGGGATCCATATCAAAACTTAAATCGTTTAAAAAATTTGCCAGTTGGCCAAATGCCGATTAAGTATTGTATTGACATTGTTCAAAATGTATACGATGCTGTTTCGGAAATTTAAGTTTACCTACAAAAMCAATTTTTAACCATAAAAAGTTGTTTTAAGATCTATGGATATTTTACCACGCGATATGAAACAAATAAAATGCCATAATAATCATAAAAATTTTTATCATCCAAACCCGCTAATTTCTAACCTCTCCTTTAAGACTCTCCCGGATAACCCTCCCCGTCAACTAAAACGAGATTGGCCTCGTAATTTACTTCGCTAAACAAAAAAAACCAGTTTGAAGTAGTGTCAATGGACGCACCCTTCACTCAAGCCTCCAAACCTTGTAAAAATCTCAAATTTACTGATTGTATTATTAT